CAACTCCAGACGAAAAGATGGAGAAATGCTGTCGCTGTATAGGCAGTCTCGTTGAGTAACGTAATAACGTTGCACTACATTGCTCTTTATATCTAAATATGTAAAACTGTGTGTGAAAGACAGCGAGTGATTCAACGGTTACAGTTTCAACATATCTCCAAAAAGAACAGATGATAATACCGGTAGTTTATGTGAGCTGCCAATAAACTCATTCATTGACTTAATTGTCCAACCTTCCCAAAGCCCAAACTCTATAAAAATTGTAATTTATTTATTTAATTTGATCTTTGGGACATTTTTCATTTCATTTGATCATTTGGGACATTTATTTGGCATTTCATTCATCGAGACAGAGAGAGAAAGAAAGAGGGAGAGCGATGGGGTCTTTCGGTTTTCCATCCCCACTCCACCCTCCAGTCTTTAAATAAGCGAGACATGAAGTCGCTTATGAGGTCGTGATGACATCAGTGGGGTTGCCGTGGTATCGCCGTGTGTGTTTACCAGCCGGGTGGCTCTAACGACTCGGCCACTGAACATCAGCTTGGCTGCGCAGGCTAAAAACCAAACGCCGGCAGGAAGAGGAGCGTTCTTAAAAAGTCTCTTTTAGTCTAAACAGCCGCTTAAGTAAAAGGCCAACACACTCAGCCGTCCGCACATGGCACCAACCACGCACCTGGCCTTGAACAGCGGAGAGAAAGTGAATTGCAAGTGTGTGCGTGTATAAAATCATAATTCAACCAACAGGATACAGCTCCCATTAAGCTTCGCTGCAACATGTTTATTCTTCATAAGACTAGAAGAGTCTACAGCACTACCGAAATCGATCGATGCTCTTATCTCCCCCCCGGCTCATGCTATCATCTACAGGACAATTATCTCCTCATCCAGTCAACTACTGGAAGATGACAACAAAAAAAAATAAACCCTAAATGTTTCTGAGCACTATCTAAATGCCCTGCTAACTTGTCCACCTGGACGGATGAGGCAGTAAAATTGCACTTCACTGGAAGCCTTGAAATTTATTCCATTAATTCAAGTACAGCGAAAATCACTGGTCACTGGCACCCACGCTTTACTCAGAGGCTTGCGATGAATGCACAATTACAGCCTCTCATGCCGGGAGTGCACTATAATCACAGCATAAAGAGATGTGCATGAAGAACCGGCCGCTATCGTTGAGGAGTGTCCGTCCAATCTCGCCGCAACGATGGCATCACCAATCCGGCCATCAGCGAGCTAAAACAAACAAAGAAAGTGGATATAGACACGCAATCCTTCGTGGCGTGCTTATTTCTGAGAGCGGGTGCTCAAAATGCTCATCAGAAATGACTGTTTACAGTAAACAGAGGATAATGTAGCGGCAGTTATCCCCGTTAATGAACCACAGTGTCCATTCTCTCAGCCCAAACATGCTAACACATGTCATTATACTATATCACCCAAATGAGTCCTGACCCTTCAGTCACCCTCATTAAGAGCAGGTCAAGGGGACAACGCTTCTCAGATATTGACGGAATTTTCTGGTTTTCTGTGTCTTCACTGTTATGAGGTAGGGGGGCGCTATTAGGCATCTTCTGAAAGAGTAGTGGATATACGTATCAAAACACAGGCAAAAAGGAGCAGAAACAAGTGTTAAAAGAAGGGGGAGGGGGTAGATACCATTTTATCAGCTTTATGTTCAAAACGTTAATTTACCCACATTTAAGTGGAGATTCAAAATTTCCCTTTAAAAGCAGAGGTTCTGTTCTTTCTTTTGACATATTACATGTTCATATATTCATACAACAAAATATTCAAGAGGCCATGAAATTGTGAAAATTTCAAAAACAAACAAACAAACAAACAAAAGAAAATGCTGTCGGGAAAAGAGTTAAATTAGATTCAAACTATAATTAAATCAGGAACTATTTTCATACTAGGGCTGGGTGATATCACAATATATTATTCAAAATGTACTCAAGATTTTTTACAATCCTTTCATTACAGCAGATTTTTTTAATAACGTTTCTGATGCACACCTTAACAAAAACAGTTTGTACGTTACATTTCTTACATTTCTATTTTCTAACATCTCACATTACATTTAGCTTACATTTCTACAGTTATTTATAATAAATTGATTCAAAACAGTGCACCAATAAATTTGTTGAAACTTATATTTCATATTAATTATATATTTATCCATTTATTATTGTGTTGGTGTACTTAAATAATAGTTTAAGCCTTCTTGCATTTGGCTATTTGGTCAAAAATGTTCTGATGATTTAAAAAAACAACCTTTTATGTAATTTTAGAGCGATCAAAATATGTTAAATATAATCAAAAGATTAAAGAAAATGATCAAAACATCTGATACCTAAAGTTCTGATTAGGTTGTTGGGAGATGACAAAAACGATCTGCTATATCAGGAAAATAAAGAGCCCTTCATAAGAAATACAGACACGAGTTTGTAACAGATCTCTCTCTCTCTCTCACTGTGAGACAAGGCCTCTCGCCCTCATCCAGTCTCCACCTCCAGGCATTTCCCTCCAATGGAGGGAGCAACCAGCAGCTGGAGCTATTTATATCCCCAGGTCCCCTAGCAGAGTAGCAGTTTGACTCAGCATGACCGGATTAGGATTAACTTGTGCTTCAAATCTATGATATTATGAATGTCCTGCTCAGATCAGACCGTTGTAGGTAAAACTATACTCATTTTAACATTGCTCAATGCTTTGTTGATATTCATTATCTTGATATTCATTCTGAAATTGATTGATCTGAAATCATTTCAATCTAACAAACACTGCAGCCAATTACAGTTTCACGGTGTTTAAGGCAAGAAGTAAGATACAGTGAAAATCTGCACCATTATATAAAAAAGTACCAGTCAATATTGTGTTAAAACATTTGAATACATACTATATGTATATATATATATATATATATATATATATATATATATATTTTTTTTTTTTTTTTGACAGTTAAATTGGTGATTCAAATACTAATCAGATCACAAAATACAAATAAGCCTGCCCTTAAGTGACACATAAAACAGAACAAAGAATGTTATTGGTTGCATGTTGATTATTAGATAGTATCTTCCTGAATAACTGGGCAGTTCTTGGGCTGAATAAACAGCAAACCGATGCTATACCTCATGGCGATAATCAGACGTTTGTCTATGTGAGACTAATCGGATGGTAAAGACCTCTCAACAGATGGTTTGAATGAAAGCTTTCCCTCTTTCAAACTTGAGAAAACTGGAAGTAAAAAGAGACTGACATACTGAAGGTGAATGAAAACAGTGCTGTGTGCTGGGCTGCTCTGTAAAGCCATCGGCCGATTGTCACATGTGCTTTTAATAGGGAGAGGAGGGGTGAGCAATGACCATTCAAATGTGAATGGCACTGAGGTAGGACACTGCAGGCTCCTGGATGACTAAGAGAGAGTGAGAGCGGGAGAGAGAGAGAGAGTGTGTGTGTGTGAGGGGCTGTGCACATACTGTACTGGCCAACACATTCATGACTACCCCTCTTCAATGACACAAAGATACTGAAACACCAAAATCATCTCTGAAACTCCCTACACTATATATAAGTCACTAGGCAAATGCTTAAAAGTCTATGATTGGTTCATAATTGCAGTGATTATTATGTTTCTATCATAACAACAGTTCTTCTAACCCTAATTGATGGACTGAGCTTTTCATTTCTTAAACATCCATGTAGGAAGACACATCATGGCCATATTCCAGTCAAGATTCATCAGGGTCAAAGAGTGAAAGAATGGTTGGAAAGGAGAATGAAGAATCATTTTCATACTTGAATCAGCTCCTCTGAATCCAGAACTTACTCATTGAAAGTCTTTGGGATGTGCTGGAGGAGACTTTACAGAGTGCTGGACTCTTGCATTGTCAATACAAGGTCTTCACCAAAAATGTACCTCCTGATGGAAATAACATCACAACATTTATTTCCATCAAGAGGTGCATACCTTTTTTTAGGAAAAGTTTTAGTAATTTTGTTTTGTGCTTTTGCCATTTTTATAGTACTTTCTAAATAGCTTTAATTTGTAACGTTTTTTAAGTTGTATTCCGTTTATTTCCATTACATACCAAGTTTTCCATCAAATACGTATTTTTTATTTTAATTTCAAATATCAATGAATGTTTTTTAATAGTATTAGTTAACAACAACAAGAGAGATAAAGCATGTGGTCATGCCTATTGGATAATCCAGTGAATTAAATACTTACAAATTAAATACTCATGAAAATAAGCTCACCAACAACCACGTTATATGTATTAAATTCAATTAATAACATAAAACATAGCTAGTTTGGGCTGTTAATTCTGATTGGATGAACCATTTTTCGAAGCCATTGTAAAATAACCAATAAACGTGCACGTGTGACCTCATCAGTTGAATTCTATATGAATGCGGCAAGTTGCGATGTCACTTGGCAACCGTAAACAACAAAACTGCACTTTGCAGAGCCAAACACCTCGTAATAACAAGTTCCTTGTCTTGACTCGTTCGGGACACGTCCCGCTTTGAATTTGCATTAATCCATGTTTCTGTACTGCTCTCAGGTGTAAACAACGTAACGCAGTCCTGCCCGCTGAGTAGACGGTATAAACGGTACAGCGGGATCTCTACCGCCTGACACATCCAATATCACACCGCCCAGCCCTACTTTCCATCCTCACCAGACAGATTGTCCAGGACAGAGACCCTGCGCCACAAGCACAGCCAAGCGGAACACCTCTCTCTCTCTCACACACACACACATACTCGGAACAAAACAGTGACAAAAATAAAGTGCATTGACAAGCTCTCATCACTCACCACTCAACATAGAGCGTTCCAAGGATGCAGCGCGCGTGTACACACACCCACACAAGAGTGTTAGCGTATCTCAGCACCATGCAATAAAGCCATAGTCTTCACACACCAGTCCGTCCACCCACTCAACCTCCCTCACATGGAACACACTGTACAGAAATGGCACTTACCCATCAGCCCCTCAAGTCCAGAGCAGGGAGACGGCAGACAGTGAGCCGGAGGGGTTACGATGCGCTCGATGCCTCTAACAGCGCTGAGTGTGACTCTCTCTCGGTCTTTCACATTCCCCGTCTCACTCTCACTGACTCTCTTCCCTCCGGCTGTGTCTGTATCTCACTCCGTCACCCTTGCCCCTCCCCTCTCTCTCTCTCTCTCTCTCTCCCGCCCTTCCTCTCAGCTGGTGACATCACAGAGCCGTTGCAGGCATGCTGAGTGTTTATGTGCACTGCTGTAGTTTCCTGGAACACGGGGCAGATTCACAGAAGCTTCAAGACTCTCTCTCTCTCTCGCTCTCCGGCTCTCTCCCTCTCATTAGCACACTACTCTGATGTTTACATGGAGCGTAACGGTGCCCACCCACTTTTTCAGTGGCTTTAGTTTGGGACGAATTCTTTCCTCATTCATTTTCTCCAAACGATTCTGTAATAAAGAGCTCGAAACCAAACCAGCAAGCTCAAAAATAACAACAATCGTTTGGCTCAAAGGAAAACGGTGTTTGAACATCTGAAAAAATACAGAGGTGTTTAATATGAACCATTCAACCCACAAAGCACTGTGGATAAGGTACAGTAAGTGAAATAATCAGGAATAAATGGTACGACATGTGTTGACTAAGTTGAAAAAGTCAAATATAAGTTTGAGTTTTTAAGAATCGAGCTTAAAGGACAAGTTTGGTATTTTTTACAATTAAAGCCCTGTTTTAGGATCGTTTCTGATGAAATAGAATGGTTAAGATTGTTTTTTTAGAAAGATGCTGCTGTCCAGAAAATTTTCAGTTTCTGTGGTTGCAACCCCCCACCTCTACAATGGTAGCATAGGTGCACAGGAACAATCATTCATAAAACGCATAAAACTTTAGTTTACAAAGACGTGAAACTCACCGAGTGGTCTGGGATGTTCACTGATATGCTCACACAAAAATCGCTGCAAAAGATGCTTTCCAATAGGTTTTATCGTAGTTTTTGTAAAACTCCATTAACTTGTATCGTATGTTCTGTGACGTACGGTATTACTCCGCCGCCGGAAATGGAAATGGGGTTGTTTGTATTCTTTCTGTAGTCTTATGCAGTCACGGTATCGCGTGTATTCCCTAGTGTATGGAGTCGTTGTATCGCGTGTATTCCCTAACCATGACAGATTTTACAACAGACGTAGAAGACAATACTGTTTCCCAACTGTAGGGGGACCCCGAGAGCAAAATTTCAAAAGTAACAGAATGCTGCTTTAATAATACCAAAGTCCTTTTAGGCAAGTCATGCCACTCGGCCACCATCTTGGCAACGCCTCCAGGCAGCTATTTCGGACTAACAAGACCAAGATCCTATCTATGAATGGGCAGAGAGTCAGAACTGCAGTTTCACTGGTCACCGGGACATGAAAACTGCATGTATAGAAATAACACAGTCTCATCCCAAAAAGTCATATAACTGACGTTTTGGGACGTATTTTGACCATACGTCAATATCCGCCTTTTTAGGGCCCCCTTAAACGTCGGTAGATGGCGATCCCGGGCCGTCATACAACCGATGCTTTACCTTTAACGTCAGTTAGGTGACGGGTTAGGTTTAGGGTTAGGTTTAGGTCTGGGGTAGAGTTAGGATCCCATAACCTCATCTACCGACGTTTAAGGGGGCCCTAAAAAGGCGAATATTGACGTATGGTCAAAAGACGTCCCAAAACGTCAGTTATATGACGTCTTGGGATGAGACCGGGTTGATAGAAACAGCAGTAAAATAAGTAAAAAAAATAAAAATTAAAAATCGCTGAAAAAGTTTGATGACTTTGTCCAAAAATAAGGTTTGAACACCTTTTTCCCCACAGGTTATACTTTTACTACGCATGCGCAAGGGTTCTCTCCCATGTCGTGCACGCGCTACACGGTTTGAAACACAGTATGTGTGCGCTCTTGTTCGCTCGCCCTAGATTCCGGGAGATTTGAACTAATTTGCGGGCATCAGTGAGCCGCTATCAATCTGCAGGAGACTCCCAGAACTTCTGATATTTACACAACTCAAACAGTAACGTATTTTCCGCTGTCGCAAACCTCAACTGTGCGCATGCGTCGGTGGAACCAGACGATAGGCTAAAATGTTTCCCGACTTGACTGTTAAAAGCAGACGATTGGCTATCCAGAGGAAGGGCCGGGACATATGCATAAAACCGCCATATTTGGTGTTACGGGTTTACCCTATATCGTTGTATTAAGGATTGAGGAAGTGGCACGTCTCTATATAAATAGTCCCTGATAAGGTCTACAGGACCACTGAAAAAAAATCTCTCAATATCTTAAAGTAATCTCAGGGGTTTGAAATAACAAGGTGTCAAGTTTCATTTTTGAGCTGACTACAAATAGGGGGGAAAAAAAACATGTGAGCACATCTCATCTGACTATATATTTAACATTCCCATTCCCCGCTGGCTCTATGCAGAGCTCATTTACACATCCTCTTGAGTTTTATTGATTGATCGATTGACTCAGGAATATCTTGACGATCATGAGCTCAGACCCTGTGTACGGCTATCGATCATCTCCAGCACACTGTTCAGGGAAATCCCATAACTCGAAAAATACTAATATCCCATTCCCCAGCCAAGTTTGTCTGTCACCTAATTAATCTGGAAGACTTAGGTCACCATGGTTGGGAAGAAAAAACAACACGCATGATTAGCTCTTTCGTCTTTGAATAATTGAAGGTAATAAGAAAGCTGGAGAACGAGGTGCTTGAGAAAAAAAAATCACAAATGAGAACATTAGAGCCGTGACGGATGGAGCGTGGTCGGGATTTTGAGCGGCAGACTCCATCATGTGACGCCACACACGCCCCGTCCATGAACATGGTATCTTTCAGAAGATTGTGTGTGTGTGTGTGTGTATCCAAAGGGTTTAGAAGAAGTGAAGAGGAGGTCCATCTTCACAGGACAACCTGCCTTGACAGGCCACGTTGGTAGAGCCTGGCGCTTAACAAAGCAGAAAATCAATGGCACATTTACTTGGGCTCAATGTTAATCAATACGGTGTACAGATATGGGCACAGAAAGACCAAGAGACAGGGAGAGAAAGAGTGCTGAAATATTTATCCTACAGATCCCTTTTCATACAGAGACGCCAAGCAAACAATACCACACGGCCAACACCCAAAACGAAGTGCTGTTGGATCCTTTACAAAGAGCCGGGAGCGTTAAAACTCAGCTCAGCCCCAAAATAAGGAGAGAACACAATCCCAACTCTCAAATAAACAAACAAGCAATCAGATAATTCTATTCCACATCATGTTATCAACATTCCCTCTTCTTCGGATTAGTCAGAGCACATTAGAACAAAGGACAGTTTAGTAGAAATTAGGGATTGGCAGTATAGCTTAGGTCATATTTCAAAACACTTGAATGCATCACAAAGTTATTTTTGCTGAAGAAAAAAAACACACACGGTTGATTAATATTACTTCTGGAGAAAAAAAAATCTATTAAAAATAAGTTCTGGGAGCTGTTTCTTTGAAATGGAAACAGTCCAACCAGTCTCAAAAACGGATTTATTTTAATGAAACAAAAATATGGTCCAACCAGTGCTGTTAGATTACAAAAAAAAAAAAAACATTAAGAACTATTTTTTTAGGGAATCAAAAACATTCAGCCAAACAAGTGCATTAGGATTCAAAATGATCTTCTTTTTAGTGAATGAAAACATGACGATGGGTGGATGGAAACACAACATGACGATGGATGGATAACCTCAGTTAAGTCAATCAAAAGTGTGTGAATCAGTCAGGGTTGCGTTTCCCAAAAGCATCGTTAGCCAACTATGGTCGTAAGTTCAGTCGTTACCAATAGAGTTCAATGGAATTTTCAACCAACATGCAACCACAGTTGGCTATATGCTTTCGGGAAACGCACCCCTGAACAGTTACTGAATAAATCTGACTCACTTTACTGAATGGCATGTTGTTACTTGCTTATTTTTTTATTTTTTGCTCAAGTATATACAGTATGTAAGGTTTTTATTCTCATCATGGCTGCATTTATGGATCAAAAATACATTAAAAACAGTAATACTGTGAAATATTATCACAATTTAAAATAACAGTTTTCTATATGAACATATTTTAAAATGTAATTTATTCCTGTGATGCAAAGCTGAAATTTCAGCATCATTACTCCAGTCTTCAGTGTCACATGATCCTTCAGAAATCATTCTAATATGCTGATGAGGTGCTCAAGAAACATTTATTATTATTACAGATGTAAAAAAAACAGCTTAATATTTTTCAATAGTGTTTTTCAGGACTCATTGTTAGGACTCATAGACCCTGATCCTTTGGAAGTTAGTGTAGACTACTGATTAACCATTTGGGGTCAATAAGATTTGGAATGTTGAAAAGGAATCACAATCTGAATTAGAACCATTTAACAAATGCGTAGCAACATTCTAACAAACACTCAAAACACCTTAGCAACAGCAAAGCAACGGAACATCCTGATGAGTTTAGAAAAAGGCAGAACTCACTTTTTCTCCACATAATGTAAAAATCTAGTTTGACCTGAATGATCAAAACATGTCGAAGGCCATGACGCCAACACATCTTCACTACAAACTGATTCCAGAGATAACAGGAACATAAACACACGGCAGTGGACTAAAATAGCCCATCTGTAAACCTCAGTTGGGAACGAGTGAGAGTCAAGAGTTCTAGTGATGTCAGCGAGGTACATTGATCAACAACAAAAGTGCCCATTGAAAAAAGCACCTGGGCTTCATATACATGGAGCTCGGCCAAAAAGAAAGCCAGAGCTCATGCAAAGTAGGTCCTCTCCCCGAATCTCATGCACTCGTGAGTGGGAAGGCCTTTTCCATGACAGCTTTACAGCCCATGATGCCTCAGAAAGCTCCAGGATAAAAAAACTCCTTCATCCTGCCTGGATTATTTTAGTTTTAACAACAGATCTGCTCTGATAAACAGGCAGTGGAAGAAGAGAAAGTTTACCAGGATGTGTGGAGGTGGAACGGAAATCTTGTTGGCCTTCCACTACACTGTACGAGTTAAAAAACACTGAAAGCACAGGTGCCTTAAATATCCTATTCTGTACGCAAACAACTTCAATGTATAATTCAAGTGCCCCAAAACC